CCCCAAAACCCCAAAACCCCAAAACCCCATTTTTAATGATTGAAGGATTAGGAGGAGTAATAAAGATATAGATAATTAAGATATGAAAAATTCAACAACACCTGCCCTATTTTCCCTTGTAGGTTTTTTTATTCTCTGTTAATCCGAACTTTTTCGCTCCGCTACCTTCAGTAATTTTCTATGGTCTAAAATATACGTTATAAATGCTTTATAATACAAATTTTATTAATCTGCTGATAAAATCGCTTGTTTAAGAAGCTGTTAAGCGATTCTATTAAATGCTACTTCTACATTTGCACCTTCAATTGCTGAGGTCTCCTCATAAGGAATATCATTATTCTTTTATAACCACTCTTCAACTCTTTATATAGGCACCTAAAATTAAACGTCACTTCCTTGATTGACAGATCTAAAACGATTTTACCTTCCTTTCCTCTGCTTTATCAAGTTTGTTTCCAAATACGAAAAATGGAAAATGATCTGGATTCTTTGGATTAGCTTTGACTAAGAAGTCCTGCTTCCAAATATTTAGATTTTCAAAACTTCTCTGATTAGTGATATCATAAACTAATACGCATGCTTCAGCTCCTCTATAGAATGCTACTCCTAGACTTTGATATCTTTCCTAACCAGCTGTGTCCCAAATCTAATCATTTTCATTATTGATGTCTAGTAATAAAGATGCATACCTACAAAGTCACTGTTTTGAGATCATCACCTTCCATTATCTCTAGTTTTTTACTATGAAAATCTGCACCTATTGTTGGCTTATATACCTATGAAACACTCTTTCTTATATAACTATAACGAGATTAATACGTAAGATTTCATTATTTGATGGAAGAGTTTGAATTTTAATATGGAAAATCGAATTGTAAGCTAGAAATTACTTTTGGATGATTGATGTCTTTCCAACACTATATTGAATTCAAATAAAGAAGATATATAAATTACGCGCAGTCTCCAAGAATAATAATTTTAAAGATGTGATTCTTTTTACTTGGCTTTGTCCACTCCATTGAAATTTAATTAGATTTTAAGACTATTATTATATTTTATATTTATTTAGTTTGATCTATCTATCATTTAATTATTCTTAATATTTTAATAAAGCGCTTGAAGGGGTTTTGGGGTTTTGGGGTTTTGGGG